GATGATATAGAAGCAATAAAGAGAAATGATGTATTATAGAAGTATTTGCTTGCAGCTAATATCAGATGGAAGTAATTTTATGCGTTGATATTGAGTTGCTTAAGTAGCAAATTGTAAATTCTGGAGTCATTTGCTTTGTGCCACTGTGTCTAGAATTGCATTTCATACCTCCAAGGGCATTCCATGCAGGTCAAGGAAAAACTGAGCTTTTGTGAAATTGTGGGGTTGGCATCCTTTTATGTTCACACAAAACCACTTTTTTAGTATAAAGTCATATAGATGTTCTACTGAAGAGGATCTGTCCCTGGACATTTCTCATCATCAGTTTACCCTGTAGGGCTCTGTCATCCTGACTCAGCACCAACACTGAACCAGCAGGAGCAGGTGAGCAGGAAAACCTGTGGAAAGGCTGCCTTCAGGGAGGAAGATGCTGACAGATTCTTTTGTCTTTGTTCCCCCTAAGCCCTTCCAGCCAGGGGAGGGGTTTCCTTTCCTCAGGTCTGAGGGACAGCAAGGTAGAGACAGAAGGAAAACCTAACTGTGAGCCAATTCTTGGTCTCTAATGCTTGCCCCGGGCCCTGTAGCATTATGGCTTCAAGGCAGCTGATAAAGGGATAGTTTGGCTTCCAGCCATACAGTGAAAGGTATTTACTTTGAATTGTCATTATATAGGACTTCTATTTTTGGGTTATTCAGTCAGAAGAAAAAAAAAAAAGTGTCCCTTTTCCCAAAGATGGAACTACTGCAATGAAAGGGAAGAAAAGGAAATAATTCACCTTATTAAAGCAAAAGGAATTACTGACCAAAAAAGACATTATGTAGGAGAAGTCTACAAGTTCCTAAGTCCATCAAGTATCTCTCTAAGGATTATGGGAAAAAGGGAGCTGTTACAGAAATATAAATACAGTTAGATTATCTCAATTCTGGAATACATCTTTATTTCAGGCCCTGGGACTGGTAGGTGGATCTTTTACTGTAAATGTAACACAAAGCTTTTAGATTGCATTTAGTGGTAAATTTTTAATTTTAGCTCAGTTTCTAAAGAGCATGAAGGTTTTATTAGATATGTGTAAGCTTCTGTCTCTCTAATAATTTTAGAATCTGTTGGTTAATGTCATGTACACTAGACAGCCAGAGAATGGGAAGCATATATTGAGTCTTTGATTTGCAAGCTGCCTAATGGGTGATTGGCTTGGTCAGAATTAGGGCCTTTAACAGCAATCAGATCCTCACTATAGCATGATTTACAGTAACAAATGAACAATGTGCTGAGGTTTTGTAGGTTTCAGAAACAAAACCCAAACGATGTAATAACACATTAAATGATCACAGAAAGGTATGCTTTAGGCAGAATGCACTGCAAAGGGAATATAGCCCGAGGTTGCTGGTACAGACGGGTGTTCTTCCTGAAGATGAGACTGGAGTGGTCATTTAAGCAGCAGCTGCTTGAGAAAGGCCTGGAAAGGAAATCTCAATTCAGACAGTGAGAAGAAATATTCAGCAGTGAAGCACTAACACATATAACCAAGGAAGGAGTGCAGTCTTATCTGTGGGAGAACTGCTAATTAGGCATCAGTAAGGAATGGCTGGAGAAGGCCTCTGAGGGTTCTTCTAACCTTCTGCTGCTCTGTCACAGATCTTCTCAGGCTTCTGTATGCATCTGAGTCAAACCTTAGACAAACAGGGTCAAATGGAGAGCAGGAATTTCTGTCTGCAGAAGTCCCTTTTTGGGGATCTTTGCAAGTGGCAGAGGTGAGAGATGGAGTAATTGTAGGCTCAAACCTTATCTGAACAGGCTCAGCTATAAAAGTGTTTCAGAGTACTGTGCATGGGAAAATACTTTCCTCTTGGCAATGCAGCAGCCTACTTATTGCCTTCTGTATACCACCACCCTTCCTTCCACATGGAGAAGAGGGATTGTGACTCTGATATATATCAATGTCACTGTATAGATGGTTGCTCTATCACCCAACCCTACTCAAGAAGGGGAATTGAGAAAAGGAAAGGTGACTTGTGGGTTGAATTGAAAACAGATTTAATAGAATTAAAATAATTAACTAATATTAACCCCAATACTAATATAAAATACGAAGTTATACTCATCTCCAGATGGTAGCTGGGAGCTGTAACAAAATTCACCCGACCTGAATAGCTGACCCACTAATTGAGGGCATCTCTATTAGTGCAATATTGTTCCTGGTGCACCATTGTAGGAGTGATGGACACCTTTTGTTCCTCTGGCAGACCAAAAATGGTAGCCAGCTGTTCAGTTTCCTCCATCTCTATTGTAGGAGTGATGGACACCTTTTGTTCACTGACCCTCAGCAGCCCCACAACGGAAGGTTCCTCTGGCAGACCAAACATGGTAGCCAGCTGTTCAGTTTCCTCCATCTCCACTGCTGCTACACCAAATGCCCACTGGTACCCTCTTGGATCCTTGAAATACCCTCTCCTGAGGTCGTGTATGCTGAGAATGCGGTGGGGTATCTGGGCCAGTTGCAATAGGGTTCATGTTTCTCTCCTTCATGACAGCTGTAATCCTTACATGTACTTTGCAGGTCACTTAAAGATGGAGACTATGTGGTTACCTCTTTGTCTTGCACTACCTTTGGTTGACCTGCTCTTCTGGCAGATTTTCCCTTCTGTCTAGGGCTGACTGCTGTTGGCACTGGTTCAATCCCTGGGTCAGCTGCATCACCTGTCACCAGGGTCAGAGTAGCTGCATTACCTGTCACTGAGGTCTGGGTAATCACAGTGGGTATTACCTGGACTTCAGCGATCACATTGCAGAGATTTGAGTATCTGCTGGGGTAGCTGCAGTGCCTGCTGTGGGGATGGTCAGGGTCTAAGTAGTGCTTGTACAATGTAGCACTTGTCACCAGGGCTGAAGCAGCTTCAGGTCCTGTCGTGGGAGCTGGTGGGGTCTCAGTAGACACTGTGCTCATCGTGGGGCCTGGGGCAGCTGTGGTGCTTGTCGTGGGGCTTGTCAGGGTCTGAGCGACTGTGGTGCCAGTCAGGAAGGGTTGTGGGGTCTGAGTAGCCACAGAGCATGTCAATCTATAGCAACATTCTCTGAGGCCAAAACATTCAAAAGGCTTATGAAAATATTGAGGAACATGGATGCATCCCAAGGGTATTGCCAGTCCTCAAAAACCATTGACTATAACCCGAGGGTGTAATTATAAACTACATTCACTAGATGACTCCCAAAGCCAGATGAAGCCACTGGCCCTGTCTCACATGGCACTATGCCCAGGATAATAAAAGCTGGCTAAGTCCAAACCAGCCTGTACAAATGCGCAAAACCATAAAACCCACAAAACAATACCCCTAAGTCCACCCACAGAAGTGACAAACCATGCAACACCACCAACGAACAGTGATAACATCTCCCACAGCTACTTAAAGAAATATCAGAGGACTCCACCCAATAGCAATTTCAGTTGCTCTATCATAATGACTGCTTGTAACGAATATGATCAAATCTGTTTAAAACTTCAACCCTTCAAGATTCTCAGATAAAAAATCTACATTTCTCCCAGATAAGCTCTTGGATATAAATGCCAAAAACATGCCAAATAATGGTTGTAGTTTAGACAGTTGCTCAGTCACCTGACCTCAGAAGGGGAATCAGGAAAAGGAAAGAAAGTTCATGGGTTGAAATGAAAACAGGTTTAATAGAGCAATAACAATGAATTAATATTAACCCAAATACTACTACAGGTTACTAAGTTATATTCAGCTTCAGATGGCAGTTACGAGCTGTGTGCTTCTCGTAGTGCAGGCTGAATGCTGACATTATGATCATGACAGCTGCAGTGAGAATGCACAAAACCACAGAACAGCAAACAGAGGACTGTGCCTCAGGCACGGGACAGCAGATGAGATGGATGGGACCCTCTTCGGAAGGCAACCATGGTAGAAGAAAATACCCATTCCCACAAACTTCCCGATGTGTAGAGAGGGTGACATTTATGGTGTGGAATACTTGGGTTGACCAGCTTGGGTCAGCCGCCCTGGGCTTCACCCTTCCTCACCCACTGCACCTGTGTGGTTCAAAACTACCTTTGACCTTGGGGACTACAGAAACCTGCATAGCAGAGCTGGGTATAAATTAAAACTTGGTGGTCATTTAAGCAACAGCTTAAATTGTCTCTTGTTCTCACAGAACTGACTCTGCAAATGCATCTTGTCTCTTGTTCTCACAGAACTGACTCTGCAGCTTCTGAAAACCACAGCTTCTCTGAACAGAAAAACGATTTTATAATTCTATCCTAGCAAAACCAGGACAGTCAACTTTTGGAAAATTATGGCTTTGCTTTATCTTTTACCAAATATAGCTAAATAAGATCTGGAATAAGTAAAAGATCCTTGTAGAGAGTGACATTCTGAAGTGCTTTATGTGATGGACTGGTCTAATCCATTCATGCCTATTAGACATCTACCCGTTTTAGGAGGCCTCAGCATTAAACTCCAAAACCTGATCAAGTCTGATAAGCAAATTTCTTGTATCAGCAGGGGGCGCATCGTCATTAACCAAACGAGGGCCCTCCAGCTCGCTGCCAGACCCTCATGCTCACCCACTGGGAGTCAGGCTTCAAGGCAGGATGAAGTGTCAGAACTGCTGAGTTGGAAACCTGTCTCTGAGATCTTTTTGGCACACGCCAAGCGGCAACACAGCACACCACCCTTTTGGTTGTTTTTCTAAAATTCATGTATTTGCAGAGCGGGCCTGATTTTTTAGGATTGGGCACTAAAATGTTTAGTTAATTTCCCAGGACTCTGCCATCAAGGCTAGCTGTATGTGGTACAGCTGAGCGTTTTGTCAGGCTGTTGCCTGTTCTGTCAGAGGAGAACTATAAATACACATGTGCTTCTGTGTTTCCCTATCTCTCACTTTGTAAGAGGAAATGGGCTTGTTTTCATGTGATTAGCGAGCAGAGGAACTTGTGAAAGTGACACAGCTGTACTGTAAAAACCCCAGTCCCCAGACTTTGCTGCCAGAAGAACTAAACTGCCAGTGCTGATAGACCTGAGAGCAGGATCGCCTGAGACATGGAGCGAGAACCGATGCGCATAAGGGAGGGCTACTTGGTTAAGAAGGTAAGTGGGAAGTTTTTGACTGAGTGTGGAAGAAAGCTAACTCTGAACAGACTGGGGAGATGTAGGGAAACATATTTTGGTTTCAGTTATTAATAAAAAGGATATTTTTTTCCAAGAAAAGGTAACTGAACAGAATTCCTAGAGCAGTAAAACAATGTGGTATTAGTGATTATAGAGGTACTTGCTAGCATTTTGCACTACCTCAGATGCACCTTTGGATCAAAAGATCTGCATTTTTACTAAGTAACCTAATGCTGTTAGTGAAGCTTAGCAAAACCTGTAAGAGCTTGAAATGGCTATGGCCTACACAACTGATTAGAGTTCAGATTGCCTTGGCCTAGAGACAGCGTGTGGAGCCACGTATGCTTCCCTTCTTTGAGAAGGCAGTTGTTGCCCCACAGCAACTTCTGCTCTGGAGTCTTTTGCAATTGAGCCTATGGCGTAAGGCTTTGACTTCCATTTAAATCTGAAAGGAGGTACCTTCATCAAGTAATCACAAAGCTGCAATGGTGCTGTCAGGAGGAAGGAGGGAGCCAGACTTGTGCTGATCTCTAGTTCCAATGGCTTGATATATAGAGCAAGTGGTTCACAATTCCTCTGTGACAGGAGAATGGCTATAAACTTGGATGCTGGCACAATCCAAACTGTGTGCCTCACTGGGTCTAGTGGCAAAAAGACGTGTACAGAACTGCCAGTATCAGTCCCTCACATTCCTGTGGGTGCTGGGTCCCGAAGAAGTCTCTCTGGGCAGGTACTACTCAAGTTGCTGCTGTGTGCTGTTGCGATATCAACAGGGAAGTGGAAATTGCACCTATTTCCCAGAACAATGCCCTAGGTGGGCCTGTCGTTACAGAAGTGAGCTTATGCTGGTGGTGAGGAGCAGCAGTGCTAGAGGAAGAGCTGGAGGCCAAAAGGAACAGAAAATAGAGATCAGACAGGTGCTAGCTGTTTGAAACGTCAGTGAGGCTGTTGTGAATTCCACAACCAGAGCTTCCAGCAGGGATAAGCATGCTGCTGATTAACCTAACCTGCTAATTAGGTACTCCTATCCTTCATGCCTGCAAATTGAAACCAATGATTTGACCTCCTAAAAGAGTCATCCATGTAGACACAGCTCTCTGCAGAGAGCAAAGGCCATTTGTCACTGATTTGATCAGTGCTTTAGCTGGGACAATGTGATCACCAATCCATGTGGGTTCAGACTTCTTCTGAGCCTAAAAAACAACTGAGTTTCTAGAAAGTTGGTCTAACAAAGGGAAGTTGTGTGTGTTTTTGACATTGTTGTTCCAAAAATAGATTCTTTACCCAGTGTGCAAAGTCCAATCCACATAGGTAGATGAGATATCAAGTTTATTACAATCTTGCACAGGATCAGGTGTTAGCAGGCTCATACCAAGAAACTAGCACATGTTAGTAACAACACAGTGGATATTATTACATTCCAGCTTAAGATGAGGTTACATTGTAGCCTTGGTTGGTCCATGGGCTAAAATCAATAAAGGGTGTTTTGGCTTAGGGGTTTGATTTAAAGATTTACACCAGCACTGGCTTATCTGATTTGGGGCATTCTCCTTTTGTTACCTGTGTGGTTAACCCTGCTTTGTCCTGTCCTGGAGCCAGCCCATCAGTCCAGCAATTTTCACCCTAAGCACAGTTGTTCCAAGTCTCATTTAACAAAGTGGCTAATGATTTTGAAGAGCATTTCAAGGAACCACTTATCTGTATCTGCAGTATTTGGAGCAGATGTCACAATTTAATTTTTAGTCCAAGAAAATAAAATCCACCTTCCTCTTTGCTTTTCTTTTATGAGATGTTTTAGATGAGAACAATGTGACTGTATTTGGGTTGTTGATGGGGTGGATCTGACTGCCAGTCTAACACTGTTCCATGGTGGCTTCCATTGGCAGAGCATGTCAGAGTCTGGCCTTTGGGAAGTACTGGACTTGTCTGTTTATGAGCAGATGAATTGTAACCTGTGGCAAACCCACAAACTAGAGGAAATTGCAACAGTTCTTGTCTTATCACCTTACTTGATTTCTTAGCAGAAAATCAACCAGTGTGTAAATCTGGGCTCTCAAAAATGGTAAATTCCTATGACTTATTTAGAAAAAAAACCCAAAACCAAAAAACAGCAGTTAACCCCTGTGTGGTACCTAAATGAGACTCTTTTTTTGTAAGTTCCCATTTAGCTGCATTTCTAGAGAATGCCCAGGGCAGTGACTTTCCTTTGGACAGCAGCATTCAGTTGTGGGGCACCTTCTGCTTCCACTGAGGGCTGCAGAGGCTGAAAGCAGGTCCTGCTCTTAATAAGATCTCGGCTGACAATTTTTCATCCCTGACCTGTATCTGAACATGAGGTCTGATTCAGAGTGCAAGCTGTTCTTGGAAGGTAGGGCAGAAAAAAAGGACGAGACAGAGAAGGCATTTGGGGAATAAAAAGACTCGGCATGTTTCTGCCCTATCCACTTCTGCAGAAATACAAAATGCACATGTAACTAACTCTGCCCAGCTCTCACGTTTAATGCACCAGAACAAGCCACTTGCACAGCACAACAATGCCTGCCTTGCTCCTATTGGCAGCTTTAGCACTGCTCAGCACCCATGGGCTGAGGATGGGTGCTTTAGATGGAGTTGTAGGAGGGGGAGGATACATTTAGGTCTCTTTTTGTAACAGAAATGGTAAGGGAAACTAATATTTTTTGAAAGATGGCATCTGATTTGGAGCCCACAGATCTTGATTTGCTTTGATAACTCTTTAGAGGAACTGTTGGTATTCGGCATATCTAAATGTTATTTTGGCATTTATCTAGAGTGCAACAGTCTTAGTAATTCTAGTGGTTAATTGTGCTCAAGACAAAGAAATACATTGTTCTCCGAGTCCCTGAGTTTTGCTGTGTGTTTTGCCATATGTAGGATCTGGCCCTGTCTTTATCTCTCTGTTCTTTGCATCTAACAGCTGTGATTCAGGAACAGGAAGTAAAAGCTTTAAAAGATGAAATTAAACACCTCAATTCCTCACCACAGCAGCTGGAAATCTGCAGTCTTAGGCCCTAAAACTGTTTGTTACTCTTACAGCTTGTTATTTTATGTCTAGAAATCCTCTGAGGTGTGTTCTTTCTTATCAGACAGCCAAGCCGCAATGACTGACTATTGTAGCATAAAGTCCTACATACAGCACAGGATGCCCAAATTAACGAAGCCATCCTAATCTTCCAGTTCACATCCAGAAATGTTGAGAATTATTCATAATATTGCTATTATGTAATCTTGAAGACAGTGTTTGGGACTAACTGCTACTGAAAAGAAACACCTGCTGGGGCACACACAGCACTTTTGGAAAAATTCATGCTTAGGGTGACTACAAGAGGAAATTAATGGTGATCAGAAGAATAACAACTACATTTTTTTTTAACTGCCTGGTAAAATGGGTGTGGTTGTGGTATGTTCCCCTTCAGGCACTAACTATAGTTATTTTAGCATCAGGCAGACCCTCCCTAGAAGGTTGTATCTTCAGTGGGAATCATGTGAAGAGTGATTTCTTGAACATAATGCACACGGTAATTTATTGATGCAGGGCAGCATGTTTAATACCTGGAAGCCCATGTGGGTCGTGCTTTTAGAAGATGGAATTGAATACTACAAGCGGAAGGCTGACAACACCCCTAAAGGGATGGTCCCACTAAAAGGAAGTTCTGTCAATAGCCCATGCCAAGATTTTGGCAAAAGAATGGTAAGTACATTTTTAATAACAATGATTGACATTATGCTTATACTCCTGGAGGCACTGAAGGTGCAAAAGGCTGGTGTTTACAAATTCCTTGTAGTCGTCCTACTGGCAGCTCTTGTCTTAGAAGGTCACAAACATCACTTGTGTTGTATTTGAAAGGTGTGAATGCTTGGAAAAAAATTGCAATACTTCAGGAGGAGCAATTCAGAAAGTGTTTTTGTTTTTTAAAATCTCTGAGTCTGTCAGAGAGCAGAGCTAAAATATATTGTTGTGAGGACACTTAGCTGAATGGCACAAATCCTGTATTAAATATAAATCTAGATGCCACAGAATAAAGGTACGGGAAACTATTTCATGAGCAGTGGAAGCATGTATTTATTGTCAAAGAGCAACAACTGGCTGCTCAGACAGGAAGGAGATAAATGCTGTGACACCAACGCCCAAGTAAAGCTGTAATTCCAAACCTTTTTATTACAATTTGGTAACCACCTGACCCCATGCTTCACATTAATGCAATCGGTATGAATTGCACACTGCATCATTACTTTTAGGGCTTTTGCAAATGACTATGAGTCATATCTACACTCAGAGAGACAAAAAATTGAAACTGACTTAGAGAAAGTAGTTCAAATGTTGCCTACACATTTGGGATCTCTAAGGTCGAGGGTAAGAAAGTACCTCAGTGCACAGGCTGAGTTACCAATTGACAGTGAAACACACAGATCTCTATATTCACAAATCCAGAGTCTTATTTGACAGAAATTAAGATACAGGAAGATAAATGCACAAGCATACATATTTTGTTACAGGGTTCCTGAGAAATAGTTCTTGATAAAGCAGGATTTCTAGTATGAGCAAAGAATCTTATCTTTAGTCAGTCATTTGTTATTTTAGAGGCTCAGTTTCATTATAATGGGCATTATATACCCAGGAATTCTTCTGACCATCGGGTCCCCTAGAATCTGGAAGATTATCCAATTACAGTGTAAAGAACTGTATAGTGAGGATGACTGATGAAAGAAAGGAGTCTCTGAGAGCATTAGAAAAACAGGAAGTGTGAGAGAGAGCAAGCTGCACATTCTCATAGCAGTAAAATGAGGAGAATGTACCTTTCCTTAGGTTTTGTGTTAAGTCCAGTCAGAATCCCTAGTGTCAGGGCTTTCCTTTTTCCTTCCTTTCTTTTATTTCTTCTTTATTTGTTTTATTTTTTCTCTTTTTCTTCTTTATGCAGATCCCATATTTATATGAAAAATAAAAAGTTGATCCATGTGGAGTCTTTCTGGACTTACATCTGTTAAGAAAATAGCGTTCTTAACTCAAAAGCTCAGTTTGAGGCATTGCAACAGAAGGATGGAGCAGAGAATAAAGATTGCTCTTAATTCTGTGCTGAATCAAAGAACTTGTAGATGGCTAAAATAGTTTTAGAGGGCCAGTAACTTGGAAATCTTACCCAGAACAAGATCATCAAGAGCTACCTGCTCTTCCCAGCTCTCTCTAGGTACCTCTTTGGACAAATGGGAGTTGTCTTAAGAAGAAGACTATGTTATCATGCCAGGAAAAGAGAATTGCATGATTCTGCATTCACCATCCCATGTCCATCATAGGTGGTTTTGATCCCTGAGCTGGCAAGGGCGATTGGGGAAAACAGAGAAAAAAGGAAGTATCTCAGCCATGGGGGCTGAGGCACCCAAAACACCTGAAGTCAGTTTGCTGAAGTCAGTTAAAGTGATCCAAATGATCTCAGCAGGTGTTGGAGCAAATCCTCCTTCTTGAGTTGGTGAGATTGTTCTGCAAGTCCATAGACCAATAGCCCTGGAGACATATTTTCTCTTAAAATTTGCACTGTTCAAACAGTCGAAACTTCAATGTGCTCGTTCATATGAGCAACGCCATCACTGGGATTGTTCTTACAAGTAGGTACTTCCCAATATGATTAAATCTAAATTTATACATGTATACCTTGAAAATGTAATATAATGATTTTTGTGTCTTAAATTTTACAAGTTTTCTATACCTCTGAATACAAAGCTTTGTTTTCCCCGTGACTTTCCTGTGGGTAGAGTTATCATGTATGGTTGCTAATACTCAGATTAACTTGTCCTAACACTAAGTCGGTGTTTAGTTCAATCTAATAGTCTAATTTTCTCAAAAGCAAAAAAAGATACACACCATCAAAGGGAGATTTGGTCACTTCCAGGATTGGAGACTCAACCTCTCCACCATTTTCATAGGAAGCCTGGATTTCTAGCTTAGTGGCCTAGCTTTCTAAAAGCTAAAGTTAAGAGAAAGAGCTTTCCCAGTCTGTAATGGAAATGAAAACTCTTCTTCAGCATTTCACTGTATGTTGCTTTTTAGCTCTTTGCTTTGAGAATGATGATTTTTCCTTTGATAAAAACTCACTTTGCTGCTTTGATATTTCATTCTATTAATCTGGTGTGTTAGCATGTCCCTTGGACATTGGGATTTGGAGAGATCTGATGGCTTTTCATGTGCACAGTACACTGATTTTTCAGGCTGTAGCTCTTTACTGCTTAATAGTAAAGGTGGGTGTTGTTAGAAATATGTACAGATAATAAATTATTACTTTTCTGTCTGAAATGGATTTTTGAGGACCCATGATTTGTAGTTTTGAATCTGTCTTCTGTGAAAGTCAATGGGACTTCTGCATAATTTCATGGCATCAGAATTTTTCCCATTTGCAATCTGGAAGATGCATATTATGGATGTTCAGAAATGTGCCATTTATAAATGCAGGCTTCAGTAGACTAATTCAAGTGTTTTGATTTTTTGCTGTAAATTCACTGCTCTCTGCTCTTTGACAATAGTCTTTACTTGCCCTCATAAACCATGCTGCTTGCTTGCTGATTAGCCTGTCAGTTTTAGATGCCTGCTGAGTCAAAACCTGTTGTATTTAGTTTAATGCAACTGTGGAATAAATTACAGTTCCACCTATGGGGAACTATGTTTTAAAGGAAGTGGAAACCCTCTTGACTATTTAGATCCAGATTTTCCACCCGAAGGATCACTGGATGAAAACGAGATCAAACATGGTGAGCTTTGTGAGGTTTTTTTTTTCAGGTTGGTGTTATTTTTGTTTTCTGCTTAGAATTACCTTTAAAAGATCTTTTCTCATTTTTGGGAAATACAGTCTTTCCACTGTTGCTGGTGTGTTTAGATAGTCAGTGATCATAAGGTGTAGCCAAGGGTCGGATGTATCATCTCCTTACCCATATCCAGCCCTTAAGGATTTGCAAGGCTGCAAATGTGTTCAGCTGCTCTCCAGTGTGACTGACGTTTTCTCCACTTGTGAATCACTAGCTGAGCAATATGATGTGTGGGGTTTTTTTCCCTCCTTCAGGCTGACCACATCTCTATAAATACTGTGAATTTCCACCCACTGTAAGCCTGTAGGGGCTGGGCATTTCAATCTTTCAGCTATATTGAACCTCCCAGCAAAAATTAAAACCAGCAGCTGTATCAGTGCCACTCACCTTGGCTGTACTGTCAATGTCAGGATTGCTTACAGGGAAGTAAAAAAAGGAGCCAGTTACCTGCACTGCCTGTTCATGCTTTATTTCAGAGTTTTGGGTTGTTTTAGATTAACTGTAGCTCTAAGGCACTTCTCATAGTTTCTTAGGCACAGGTAGGCTGTATGTCATGGTGGTACTAGGTTAGGCATGCCCAACTGGCTACAGCAAAGTGATATTTAAAAAAAAGTTTATTTATCATTCCAGTTTGTCTTCAAGCTCACTGTAGCCAAGCAGCAGGACCACTTTTTTCAAGCTGCCTACTTGGAGGAGAGAGATGCCTGGGTACGGGATATCAAAAAAGCAATTAATTGCATAGATGGAGGCCAAAGGTTTGCCAGAAAATCCACAAGAAAATCTATCAGACTGCCTGAAACAATCAACCTGAGGTTTGTTCTCATAATTCTGCTCCCTTGTTTACTTCTGTCCACAGGCAGTGTGCCAGATATGTAACCTCAGTCTGGAAGAGCAATGACCACGTCTGTCCGTGCTGCCTCTCTGGTTACATTCAAAGAGTCCTTTCTGCATGACTAATGGCTTCAGATCATACAATGTGGCAGAAATGAGCTGGACATCAGAACTGAGAATAAAATTTTTAATACATCATCTTTTACTAAAACCTGCTCATTTATCAAAGCATTTTGCTGATAGGGCGATTTCTGGGCACACTACAGTGCAAAAAGAGACCCTAGCCAAAATGTGATTCTTCCAAGAGAGGCATTTTTATACTCTATAGAATTTATTACAAAAATATTGTAAACCTTTTGTTTGCTGTCCAGAGAAATGGTGATGTTAGCCTAGTTTTTGGATGGTAAAGGGAGAATGATGCCTGCCAGAGAACTTGGAACTGGCAGAGGAAGAAGAGATAAAGGGCACACACAGGAAGCCATCTGTTTGTCAGTATTTAAAAACATTAAGCACAACTTATTTTTTGCCTCTGAGCAGTAAATACCAACATACAAAGCAGCCTACAGTACTCCTTACAAGACAATAAGACTGCACAGGGCCAAGATCCAACTAAGTCTGACTTCACGGGCTTCAGTAGAGGATCACCCTGACTAACAGGCCAAACGACTTAGCCTGTGACATTTAATATCCATCCATCTTGTCATTCCAGGACTCCAAGGAATTATGGTTGTGTGCAAGTGAAAAGCAAGTGGTAGGAAGGAAGTCACATCAGGGTTCACTGAGGTTACTTAAGGCCTCTGAGAGCATGCAGATGTCACAGTAACAGGATTTCTGCTCAGCCAAGGACCTTTGGGGCAACAAAGCACAAATCATAGAGCTCCCCTATTAGCACCAAGGCTGTGGGGTCCTGTGACAGTGCTTCAGCAGAGGTTGTTCCTCTGCTCACACTACAGTCACCACAAGTCATTCCAATCTCAATGAGGGCATGGTGAGCCATTTGTGTTCTCCCACCCCTCTGTTCCTGCAGCTGTGACAGTAATGTAGTGATGCCTCCAGGCTTTGCAATGTACATTCTTCAGGAGATTAAACTAATCCATGCTATAGCTCTGCAGAGAGCAATAAACCAGCAAAACATGAAGACCCCGTGAATGACAACTATATTATTGTAAAAGCTGGCTAAAGCATTTTATTTGCTAACAGTTGCTGTGGTTCTTTTAATGCACAGCGCTTTATACCTCTCAATGAAAGATCCTGAAAAGGGAATAAAGGAGCTGAAGCTGGAGAAAGATAAAAAAGTGTTCAATTACTGCTTTACGGGTAAGGAACTCTTGTCTGTCTTTTCCATACAATAAAGGGAGCACAGGGCCAAGAGGCTAAAGATAGATAAAACAGCTTGAAGCTCTGTAGAGCTCAGAGGAGTTTGAGAAGAACAGTTGGGAGATGTTTTCTTGACCAACACAGGAGGTGCTCATAGGTTGACAGGTGTTCAGTTATGGTCATGCTAAGTGAGAGAGTAAGAAGAAATTAAACCAGTGCCAGAAAGACTGAAGTAGATCTGTCTAGAAAGTTGGATTGAACACTTAACTACAGAAAACTTCTTCCTTACTGAAGTTTTCATTAACAAACTGTGTTGCATGGTAATTCCTGTCCTACTCGAAGTCAGTTCTGTGGGTGTTATAGTCAAAAGCCACTAAGTTTTGACAGCACTGTGTCATTAAAATAGCAGCCTGGAAGGCTGCCTTCTCCAGGCTTGGCTGTCCTTTGTACATCCCCAGTCCCTGTCCTTGGGGCTTCCCAGCTCAGCCCTGCATCCCCTCCCAGCTCTTGTCTCCCTAAGGTACAACGTTGAAGAGTTGTGCTTGCTCCTGCTATCAGTTTGATCAGCTGTACCTCACTGGATGACCCAAGCACCTTTCCAGATTAGCTCTCTCTGCATTGTCATTAAGAACATCTTACAGGAGGTGGACGAATAGATAGAATAGGCTTGTTTCCTGTGTATTTTTAGGCTTTTCTGTATTGGTCTTATTTTGTGGCTAATATTGTTTATTCCAGGCACTTCTGTGATTGACTGGCTGGTGTCTAGCAACTCCATCCGAAATCGCAAGGAAGGTCTCATGCTTGCCTCCTCCCTCTTGAGTGAAGGCTACCTACAGCCTGCAGGGGATACGTCCAAGGCTGCTGCCGAGGGACTGTCAGACACCCCCTTCTTAGATCTCAGTGATGCCCTCTATTACTTCGTGAGTGTTTATTCTGTTGGGTTTTTTTGTTGTCGTCCCAGACTCACTGTGCTTTGCTTTTCTCAGGCTTCTTATGGTGTATCCTCAGTCCTGAAGTAAGATTGTACAGAAATGGAGAGATCCATGTTAATTGTCTTTCTCTACATGATACACAGAATTAACTGGCTTGCTTTAATATTTGTAAGCAGGGTATCTTTTTCCTGGCAGCTAAGTGTGAACTGAGTGCTGAAATCAAGCTGGGTTCTTTTTAACTTAGACTTGATTCCTGGTAATTTCACCAGTGACCAGAATTTAGCCATCAGTTCCTCCTGATGATTCAGTGGAAGGAGTGTAATTCATTTATCATGAGGCATCTCAGAGTGGCACAAGCCTCAAACCCATTTCTGTGCAGAGCCATCAAATCTGACTCAGCATGTGCACACACACAGAGCTTGCCTGTGAGCAGAAAGGCAGAAGGTTTTAATATTCCCCCAATAACACTGGTCTGGTAGTTTACCCAACCTTTTCAATTTATTGCTTCATATTCTGGAGACTGATTTGAAGAACTTGCAATATCACATTTACAGTCAAATACTGTTTAAAGATGTTTGGCTTATGAACTGACGCTAACAAAAAAGGTACTGTCAAGTTAAATGCTTAAATATTACTATTCTATTGATATTAACCACATAGAATCACTTGACTTCAGCAACATTACTTCATTTATTTTCCTACAATATGTTCCTGGTAGGGAGACTTTACCTGTGCAGCACTGGAAGCAGAGACACTGCTGGTGAAGGCAGCCTTGTGGCCATCACAGTTTCTGGCTGCCTAGGACATTTCTAGGAGCACGTGTGTGCTCTGCTCGCTTTCAGCTTGTTTCTAGTTTGATTCAATACCAATGTGGTGTGAGGAGGCCACAGCAGGTCAATGTCTGACTTGCTGTCATCCAAGGCATTTAGTCTAAGCCATATGAAAGGTTACCAACATTCGCATCATTTCAAAATTCAAGGTTTCAGTAAGTAGCATCACAATTTATCTGGTGTGGAATGGATGTGATGCATGGATCCCAAGACATCATATGCTCAGTGCACACATCACGACATCACAGCTGTAGAGAAATGCAAATTTGAAAAACTAGGGGTAGTTTTTGTCATTTTAGAAAACATCCCAGGTTGAGCTTTTCTTCTTCCCAAATTCTGGATGGTTGTGATCAATGGAGGAAGAGGATGGGTCTGTTGGGTGCAGGGATGGCTTGCCTGGAGCAGATTGTCTGTGCTGGCAGGGCTTCATGTTAACTGCTGTCTGTGCATTAAAAAAGTGGTGACATCGTGGGATTGAGACAGCCTGTCTGTCATTGGAGAAAATGTGATACCAGGAATCACAGAGTATGGAGGCACTGACACATACACAGATGCTGCTGCTCTCTTCAGTTGCTTCGAGACCCACTGGTGTATTTCTGCTTCACACTGAAGCTCTTCCATAGTGACCTGGAGAGATTCTTCACTGGGAAATTTCTCCAGTATAACGATTGATTTTTTAGGTGGCAAGAAACAGGGTGGAGGGAAGCCCAAAGAGAAGCCAGATTTGTATATGTACATAAACATGCAGCAGCTGTGTAACTTCTGAATTTCTCTTGTGGTCATGCAGCCAGACAGTGGGTTTTTCTGCGAGGGAAATTCTAGTGATGATGATGTGGTCCTGAAAGAAGAATTCAGAGGCATAGTAGTGAAGCAAGGATGTTTGCTGAAACAGGTCAGTATTTCATGTCTTCCATCCTGTCACTGGGATATTTTTGCATGTTTGCAAGGTTATTCTTTTGCATCAAAAAGCTTTAGAGAAGAGAGAAACTAGTCTATGCCATCTCCACACTTGACAGATTTAATCTCTGTCCCTCTTGCCTTTGCAGAAAGAATACTTGCTGTAGCATAGCAGGAGGGCTGTTGCCCAACAGTGCAAGGTTTATTGCTCTTACTATGAAATAAGACAATTTATAGTTTTAATTAAGTAAGAGTGCTAAAACAAGAGATGTGAGAAGTCATAGATACAATGCGGAACTAGACTCAGGTAAAAAGGCTCCCAATTCATTGTCCCTCTGGACACACAATTGGATTCTGTTGCTAGTTTTCACAGGCTTTTTCAGCATAACTGAGCAAAGAAGTCCTTTCAGTCACTATTGTTTGATACTGTCCCTTCTGTAACTTAAAGGTAACTGTTTAACTTCCTTTCCAGCAAAACTTTAAGGAATATGTCGACATCATGGTAAGATCCTTTCTTTTTGAGGCCATTGCAAGCAGGTATTAGTGAACTGAAGGCAAAACCAAGACTCTTCAATGAATAGAATAGGTTAGTTGGAAGGGACCTACAACGATCATCTAGTCCAACTGCCTGACCACTTCAGGGCTGACAAAAGGTTAAAGCATGTTGTTAAGGGCATTGTCCAAGTACCTCGTAAAAACTGACAGACGTGGGGCATCAACCCCTCTCTGGGAATCCTGCTTTGGTGTTTGATCACCTCTCTATAAAGAAATGTTTTCTAATATCAAGTCTGAACCTCCACAGTTGAAATATTCCTTGGGAGCCTGTGAACATTTTGCTGGTGCTCACTTGTATTTCTCTTGCTCAATGAGATTACTCAAAAGCAATGGAAGAAATTAAATTCACATCTTTCTGCTAACTTTTAACCTGTCACATTCATGTCTGCCTAGTTAGTAAGAGCTTCCTTGCAAACAACATAGCTAATTGAGAAACTAGTATTTTGAAATGCTTAAAGGAAGGGATTCATTATGGTCTTCCATCAGTGTTAGTCTGGATTTGGTCACCCTCAGTGAGCTGTGGATCATTGCTTGGAAGTGTCACTGCTTCTGCTGAGAGGGCTTTCAGCAGATCTAGATTTTGCCCACCCATCATTTCAGTGGGTGGGGAAAACAGGTGTCTTCAGTGGGTGTCTTGAAAACAGGTGTCTGTGTCCATATGGGAAGGTGGTGGTGTTTCTTCTTGAGCTTCTCAGCTGTGAACTGCTTAAACATGCAGAGTGCTTAAGCCAGATAAGTCTTTTTGTTGTTGTCTTTGTGGGGAGAGAAGGACCTTCAGCTCATTCTTGCCAATAGTTAAGGTACCTTCCTGCAGGACATTTTGCAGTCCAACTGCCTGACCACTTCAGGGCTGACAAAAGGTTAAAGCATGTTGTTAAGGGCATTGTCCAAGTACCTCGTAAAAACTGACAGACGTGGGGCATCAACCCCTCTCTGGGAATCCTGCTTTGGTGTTTGATCACCTCTCTATAAAGAAATGTTTTCTAATATCAAGTCTGAACCTCCACAGTTGAAATATTCCTTGGGAGCCTGTGAACATTTTGCTGGTGCTCACTTGTATTTCTCTTGCTCAATGAGATTACTCAAAAGCAATGGAAGAAATTAAATTCACATCTTTCTGCTAACTTTTAACCTGTCACATTCATGTCTGCCTAGTTAGTAAGAGCTTCCTTGCAAACAACATAGCTAATTGAGAAACTAGTATTTTGAAATGCTTAAAGGAAGGGATTCATTATGGTCTTCCATCAGTGTTAGTCTGGATTTGGTCACCCTCAGTGAGCTGTGGATCATTGCTTGGAAGTGTCACTGCTTCTGCTGAGAGGGCTTTCAGCAGATCTAGATTTTGCCCACCCATCATTTCAGTGGGTGGGGAAAACAGGTGTCTTCAGTGGGTGTCTTGAAAACAGGTGTCTGTGTCCATATGGGAAGGTGGTGGTGTTTCTTCTTGAGCTTCTCAGCTGTGAACTGCTTAAACATGCAGAGTGCTTAAGCCAGATAAGTCTTTTTGTTGTTGTCTTTGTGGGGAGAGAAGGACCTTCAGCTCATTCTTGCCAATAGTTAAGGTACCTTCCTGCAGGACATTTTGCAGCCATGTTTTCAGGCAAGCATTTAAACCCAGTTCTCACAGACCTTGTGTGAATGTCATAACTACTCAACTATGAGACTTGTTACGGGGAATGTCTCATGTTGAAGCTGCTCTGCTTCGTACAAAAAATAAAAAGAGAAACCAGTGTGATAGCCTAGTTGTTGTGCAAAACAGCAGGATGCAGAAGAGCCAGGTTCAAGTCCTATTCCAGTGAATATTTCCTGTCCAAAATAATCAGCTTTTTTCCTTTTGTGTTTGCCAGTTCTCTCAAGATGACTGTAAAGCACTTGCAGGCAAAGCAGTTAATGACTCTCCTGGTTTTGAATTTTCCTAGGGACATCGGAGGAAGAACTGGAAAGTGAGAAAGTTTGTTTTAAGGGATGATCCTGCTTATCTTCACTACTACGATCCTGCTGGAGTAAGAGACATTTGATTTATTTCCCTCTTTGTTTTAATGTCAACACCCTGTGGAAAGATCTGAATAGATTATCTGCATGGGAATGAGTGATAGGGAATACCAGACAGGACAGCAGGGCTGTTTGTGCCATCCTCTGGAAAAGCGGAGTGAAGGATGGTTTCTCAGTCTGCCAAGTTAGGCTGCAAGAGACACCCAGACCTAGGAGCAGGTAATGCTTAACTGTGCTCTCAGCTCTTATCTGTGATTAATTAGAATTAATGTTTACTCTCACTTGATTAAAAGGAAATAAGTGCAAATGGACACAATACAGTCACTTTGCAGTTTATAATTGACTGATTTTCTATGTCAGGCTGAGACATGGCATTCCATTTCTTGTGTGACTCTTAACAGGCCAAACCCTGCCCTAATAAAGGAAGGAGCACTGCCATGGGCAAAACCTGCCCTCAGAAGCTGGCATTCAAGTAGACTCAGCCCACAGGTTTTATTTCAACCTGCATTGTTGCAGCAGCAGTGCTGCTGGGGGTTACAGCTGCTGTGCCTTTCTCCCTAGGCACAGGCAGCCTAGACACACTGGAGTATCAACACTGAGGAGTTTCTGACCTCCCACTTTCCAGCTTGCCTTTCTCCCTCCTGGCATCCCCTCCCAAAGAGATGAGCTGTGTCATCTTATTGGGACTGCTTCTTTGAAATTTACACCAACAAAAAGGCATCTTCACCCGTTCTTTAACTACCACAGTCCTGAAGTGTATGCAAGGCCAAATTGTAAATAAGGGTATAGCTGCTGTCATGTTTTATAAGAATGCTTCTTACAAATTATCTATTCTTCTTCTAGCTAATAGTTTTTTTCTATTCACTGTGGCATCAAAATAACAGCTACATTTGGCACAAGGCTTATGTTCTTCTCGTACCTTTATTGAGGACATGCTAAATACTCTGCAGATCCTGAATTCCAAATCCCCAAGAGATTTTGCTATTTATTTTCAGGTGTTCCCCCTACCACACCCCTACTCTCTGTGTTCCCAGATGACATGCTAAGTTAGGAAATATTTTTGTTTCCATTTTGGAGTTGTAGCCAGATATCAACATGTGAACAATTTCAGAAGTGTTGCATTTCATTTTCATTTCCTGTCCTTACCAGGGAGAAGACCCGCTAGGAGCAATTCACTTGAGAGGCTGTGTTGTGACAGCAGTGGAAGATATGCCAGATTGTAAGAAATATATTGAATGAGCTATGTAATAAGTTTTTGGTATATTCTTTCAATCTGCCTGGAATCACAAGTGCTTTTTATGCAAAAGTAATCTATGTGCAATGATTCAGTAATTCTTCTAATAACGAGTCTCTCTATTGCTGTCTTAATTACTGGAGAAGGGTACTGTGGTGAAGGTAGCAACGGGGAATCTTGTCTTTTGGCAGTTGATTACAGAAGACTTGTCAAAAGCATGACACCATCCCTATGTTAGAATAACTGGCCTTAGACAAAGTAAGATGAGTTTGCTCTTTTTAGTTGATGAGTTTGGGATGGAAGCTTTATGTTATGGCAACAAATTAATACTGTTCACATTCTGTTCACTCCCAAAACTAGAAGTTGTGGCAACAGCAATGGTTAAGCATTGCTGCAAGGAACAAGAAACACTCATTCCATGCATTCCCTTTGCCTTGGGAGAGGCAGGCTATCATACCCAGCAAGAAAGTCTGTTGGCATCTTAGCACCTGTGTAGACTGTAGCTGGCAGACTTGAATAGAACTGGAGATTCTGGATGTGACATTAACTTAAACATTCTGGTTTTGTAAATGGCAAGGCATGAGAGGGTTTGGGGAACATGACCTGTCTGCAGGCTTGCAGATCCTTCCATGTTTCGAGGTAATTCACCAGAGACTCCTGAGAGTGAAATCTGCAGAATTCATGGGTTGTTTCTTCAAAAGAGAGACCTATCTCATGGACCCAATCTTGCGAAGGCCTGATCAGGCACAGCTGTAGAAAGGAAGGAACATTGTAAATACAAGACTTGATTCTCTCATAGCTGACTTCTCTATTTCTTCTCTGTAGCCAAGAAGTATGATGTGGACAACATCCTGTTTGAAATCATCACAGCAAATGAAATCCACTATTACTTGCAAGCAGCCTCACCCACAGAGCGTACAGAGTGGATCAAAGCAATTCAGACAGTTGCTAGGACTGGAAAATGAAGATGATCTGCCAGCAAGAAGACAGACAACTGAAATTAATTACTCAAAACAAAACAGGAATTTTAGCTTTTCACTGAGAAGAAGAAATATTGTCTAGAAAGGCATCCTAAGGCTTGTGGGTTGAGGGTGAGGGCAGGTAGTAAATTTCAATTTTATAGTTGGCACTAACAAACTAACATTTCTCCACTTGTGTTATGGTAAGATTTTACTAAACTATAGCATAGAACATGCCATATTACTGTGTGCTGTTTATAGTAATGAGTCTTCCTTGGGAAGGTTGTACCTTATACATTTCTCTGCTGCCACAGCTGACAGTAACAATTTCACCATTAACAGGGGACAATCATGTCACTGACTGTAAATGAAGAACTCAACTGGTCACTTACCATTTAGTCTGTGTTGTGTCTCTTAAGTCTTCCCAAGACAAACTTCACACTTCCTCCTTTAGCAGATCTTTTTCCTGCTTGTTCATTTAGACGAGTAATGCCATAGATTAAGGAAAGAAATGAACTCACTTGGAAACCTGATCCACTCCGTTATGATCCTTCAGTTTTAAGGAAGGGAGGAGTGCAGATAACTGGAAACACCAGGCAGAAAGCCATTGTAACTCAATGAAAACATTATAAGGAAAAGTCTCTTCCCATAGGATTTTCAACATGAAGCAAACTGATTTCAACTTCTTTGTCTCCTGATTTTGACCTTCGCTAAATTTCTTCACAGGAATCTGCTCTAGGACCATTTGGTCTCCAAATAAGTTGCTAGGGTGTCATGAACTGTTGTTTTCACCTGTATTTGAATAAAGAATCTTACAGGAGATTTATTTGGGTTATTTACATGGACTACTAATTGAAGTGGTTTTTGTTTAGGTTTGTTTTTTTTAACCTCCAGCAACATACTCAGTGCTTGGTTCTGTGCCTTAGTAATATAAAAGAGACCTTATGTTTGCTGTAACTGAAATAAACATTATAATTTGATAATCAATTTACCTGACCAATCCATATATTTTTATCTCACTGTACATATCAAACTTCAAAGTCTTAAGCTCAAAGGAGGAGTTAAAAGTTAACATCAGGTTCTGCATTTAGACTGATGTTTTTGAGTGCAAGTAGACTTAAACAGTTCTAAAATCCTGTTTGTGAGTCTAGTAAGGTGTCTTATCCTTAAGAATTCTCATTCCGATCTCTTCAGTCCAAAAATAAATCTGGAGCTAAAGCTTCTCTTCAAATCTGCTTAATTATACCTGAATCTGAGCTAATGACCCTGAAGGTCTTTTGCCTAAGTATTGCTTATCAGCAAGAAACTACAGCCTTGCAGGGGCAGCAGGCTGGCAAACACCACATTGTCACGTCCATTTAGGACATCCAGAGGAAATCAGCTTCTGGCAGACATTTCCTGTATCACAGACAAGATGACAGGATTGCTGAAGGCTGGTCTGTCATTCTGAAGAAGGAAGACTCATGACAAGAAGATAGACTGCTTGCTCAGCTTGCTTTCTTGATAATTGCATTGTGGTTGCTGTTTATTTTTGCTTTCAGAGCTCCCTAACCCGAAAATATCCTATGGCACAGAAAAATAGAAAAAACCCCACAACTTCACACAACCAAACAAAAACTTAGCAAAGGAGAGGTGCAACTGCCAATTCTAATAAAACTAAAAGTTTTAATAAAGCTGCAAAGTTTTACAAGCCTTTGACCTTGTAATTTTTCCCTATGCTCAGCCAAGTGTACAGCTGCCAACCTATGAATGGTGTTTTCTCTGGTAGATGATGCTAGTTAGTGTATTTGTGTAAGAACTCTGATGTTTGCACTAGATTTTATAAAAAAGTTCCCTAACCTCATAAGTAGTTCTTTTGAAGATAGGTCACAAGAGTTTGTAGGTGTCTCTGCTTCTTGGAGGAAATGGGAAGATTTTAAGTATGTCTTATGCCACCCTACCTACATTTCCTGCAATAAATGTTTCATTTGCCTGAAGCTGAGAGTGACTGTTCTTCCTTTTAATCAGGTTCTCACATATTTCTTGACATCAATTGTTATCTCTGTGTTCCAGGGTGAACATGGTCTGTTTTCAGCCAATACAATACAAGGGATGATTTTGGGACCAAGGTTATTGTGGGTTTAGTTTGCAAAGACATTTTGTTTCCCAACTCATTGCAGTGCTTTTGAAAATCAAAGGAGGTACCTGAATGCCACCAGCAATCTGACTTTAGGAATCGTGCACGAGATTATGACAATTGCTGCAACCTTTGAACTAAGTCAGGAAAGTCACTAAGGAGAAAGCTACTGGAATTGAGCCAAAGTGGCAAGGATCACTGTAGTAGATGTCTGTGTATGAGGAAGAAGAAGTGGTTAGCTTTACACTACTCCAATTTCTAGAATAGATCTTCTCCAAAGGAATTCAGTGTCATAGATTATGAGGCCACCCTAATTAGTCAGAAGGCATGGAAGGGAAGAGGGATGTATCCTGAGTACTAGCACAAAAGAAGAGAGATCAGGCTTAGTAGAAGGAACCATGAACTGAAAGAGGAAAAATAGAAGAGCAGACCTTCATGTGCTATGCTTCCTCTATCCCTTTTCACCCTCCATTTAAATCACACTTCTACACACTCAGCAGTTACTACTACAGGACAGCAAAATAAAACATTGTGGTTAAGGACTAGGTTTATAATCTTCATTTTCTTTAAGACTTGTATAATATAATCTACTAGAAAGATCCTCTTGGGTTTGTGTTTGACTCACCACATCTTACACTGAGCATTTTTCCCTCCCCTGGAATGCTGATTATGTGATTACTACAGTCAGGTTTTCAAGAAGGTTTATTGACCATGCATACAGAACTACACCTATGTTGACACATAGCTCCTTCTTCCAGGGTTTGAAAGAAAACAGGACAAAGCAAACCACACACATATGCATTGAAAAAATAACACCCATGCAGGCTGCCACAGCCTAACAATCTTTCAGACACAGATGTAACTTTTCCTCTTAAGACAATAAACCTGCCAGATGGAGATAGTTCTATCTGAATGTGTTTTTAGCAGTGGTTTGCAAAAGCTGTTTAGTTTTGTTATACTGCATGTACCTTCTGAAGGGTGTTAAAAGTAGTTGGTTTGGTGCTGTTTGTTGCAATGTGCTGTCATTACTTTCTGTTTTAAGGAGTTGTTAACAAAGTGTTAAAAGTTACTGAAACTGTGTCTTTAGTAACAAAACAGTTTATTGCGGAATTTTTAATAAAAGATTTTTCATAAAGAGGAAAAAATAGTTAAGGCCTCTGAGGTATGATCTAGTATGTAGTCTCTTTCAAACAAAGTTTTAATTTGCATTTGTTCTTGCAAAATTGCACAAAACTCTTGAGTGCTGTAATACTGCTTCCATCTTTGTCTTAGATTTCTCTAAGTTGGTGTTTAACATTTGTAATTATTTCCTTTCTCCCCAACTCCCCCTCCCCCCCTTCCCTAATTTGTTCCCAAATACTTTAGAAGTTATTTTAAGTTTAAACAGATTGCTTCACAGGTCTCTGGATAAGCTGTTTTTATGGTTTGCATTGTGCCTCTATGTGTTCTGAGGGCTTGTGTAGTACCAAAACTAAGAATCTTGAAGACTTCCCTTAAATAACCTTTCTGGTGAAAGCCAAAAACATTTTAGTAGGGTGGGGCTTTCTCTTCTTTTCGGGAGGGGGGGTTTGGTTTGGGGTTATTTTGTTTGTTTTGTCGCGTTTTTTCAGTTCGTGCCTTTTAAAACTGTAGTAGACTGTAGGAGGAGCTTTTAAAAGCAAAATGAGTAGGTAACAGACCTCTGCTGGTTGTTGGTAGTCTATTTCTGTGAGTGCCTTCAGTTTGTGTTTTGCAAAGAACATGTATTTTTGCTAGTGAACTGTGGTCTTCTCATTGGCATATAGAAATTTTTTTTGTGCTCTGTGTGAACTTCTTTGGCAGTAGAAGACTTGCAGCTGGCCTTCTAATTTCTCTCTCCTGTTTGGGTTTTATGCTGGCAAAGAGGGGGATATGTGCTTTAGTCCTTTCTTCTCAGCAGCTCTCTCTCTTGGAGGAGTTTTTGGATTTGGTAACTTCGGCAGGCTGAGAAAATTCTGTGTGGCATGCAATTCTGTGCTAAGTTCTTTAGCCTACCTCTTTGAATAATTTTTAAGTAAACATATTATGTTGAGTTTGTCCTAAAGTAAATAGTAGAATATATGTGCTCTGATGTGCACATTGCCACAATGTGCAAGAAGTTCTTTTCCAAAGTTAGGATTAAATAAAATGCAAGGCTGTTTGCACAGCCTCTGTTTTGAAGGATTGCTTCTAGATTATACAATTAAGTAATCACATATTCATATTATTAAGTCTGTAAAATGAGCAGTTCTTGGTGACTTAAGTGTCAGATGTTTGCCCTTTGATGTCAAGACATAGAATGGAATTCTCAGTCCTGCTTCTTGTGGACCAATGCTGACAAGGAGCAAGGAGTCTTCCTCTTGCTTGCTAACATTTCCTCTGCTATCCAGGAGTGTGATTCCTGGGTATCTATTTCATACCTTTCTGTGTCACTTGTGTAACACTAAGGAACACAAAGACAGTTTTAAAAGCAAATGGTAGAGGTAAGATCAGTGTTCTGACTGGTGAAGTGCTAGTGCCTTTCCAGATGACTTTGGCTGCCAACTGTACGTAGCTCAGCTGCTCCAAAGAGCCTGTTTGCAATGTGAAGCCTTTGCAGTGCTCCCACCTGGCTTCAGCAGTTGCTGGATTGGAGCCTGAAAGAAGAGGGTGTCTTTTGCCAGCTCTGTGGTAGTAGCTTCAGTAAGAGAATGACATATAGTTGTGGCCAATCTGCCAAATGAGTGTGAAAGGGAGCCACCATCCATATCTGTGAGTTGTTTTTGTTGTGTGGGATGATGATATAATTGAGGTCTGAATCTGATGCAGGAAGAATAATTTGGATGTGGTTAATTCATCACCTTTTTGAAGGTATTTTAGGAACTGCATTAGCTTTTAAAACAATGTGTTTGTGATCTGTGAGCCAAGCAAACAAAAAAAATAATTGAAAAATCTCTGACTGATAACAAGGTTCTTCTTTTGTTGTGAAACTTCTTGAAATAGAACTTCTCATTTTGTTTCAAAAGAAGAGGTTTTTTTGCTTTTCTGTTTAGTTGGTTCTTTTTTCTTCTCCTGCATTAGAACATAGGACTTTCTGCTTTGCATTTAGAACCAAAATGTGGCTTTCCATGCTTTGTTTCTGGTTCTTATAGGTTGCTTCATTGTTTTCCTTTCAGTTTGCTTGGGAGGAGAGCAAAACTGTGCATAAAAGATGAGAAAAATACCACTTATCATACGCATTGGACTTCCACTGTAAGTGAAATGGGGTATAGTAAAACTCTTCACCTTCTCTGGATAGACTCTGCCTTTTTTTAAGATGGCAGCATGTTTCCCTCTCTTTTTCCATCACACTAAAAGATGACTGAGAAAAAATGAGGAAAGAAATTGAAGGCAAATGTTGTTGAAATAGATGAATTTTGCTTCCAACAGTTGAAAGGGAGGGAAATTATTATAGCAGGTTTTAAAATTTCCCTTCAGTATGTCTTTGAACAAAATCTTGAATATTAATAAATCGGAGTGATCAAGGGAGAGGAGGAAGAACTGGGGATTGACTAGTCTGTTATTGTTGTTATTATTATTATTATTTAAATTAGTCCAGAACTAGACACACCGATCTTCCACACTGTCAAGCTCAGATATTAAAAGGACATTGAGAACTTTGTTCTTATATTGCTTTTAACTGCTCTCTCTTTAGTAAATATACTACAACAACCTATTGCAGACTAACAGTGTCAATATTATAAATCAATGTATAATCTGCCTTTTCCTGTATCTGCTTCCACATCATAAGGAAAAGTCTGAAAACCCTTTCTTTAGCACTCAAGGATATGAAAAGAAAACAAAAAACTATCTCTTTTGTCCTTTTTTTCTTCTGCTGTGTGTGTGTAGGTGTCCTGCTTTTGGAGGCTTGAGTTGCTGTGTGTCTCTCTCATGTGTGATAGTGAAAGTACAGTAGCAAAATCAAAATGCACGCACGAGTTATTTTTTAATAATAGGAATAGTTATTTATATCAGAATTTAACACTCCTATGCAGTTGTCTTATTAGTAAGAGGTAAAAAAAGGTTTGGGTTTTTAGGGGGATTTTTTTTTTTAATTAGCATTTTTGCTTAAAAAGAAGGCTTTTTTTCCCAAGTTATATCTTCAGTTTCCCTTTTCTCCCCTTCGTTCCACCCCATCTCCTTCTTCTTAAAAGCTATTTTAACCTAAACTTCCTAATCTAAAAAGAGAGCTTGTGCCCCTGCATTTCAGACGTCAGAGTGAAACTCAGATACATAAATGTAAATGCCTAGTGGTATATTAGATGTGCTCCAAGATACGAGGTGATCTTTAATCACCCCTCTAGAGCAGCAAAAATTTGATCTCAACTCCTCATACCTAAATGCTGTGCATACATGTTTGGTTACTTTATAGATATTTAGTGTTACAGTCTGTTACAGTCTCCTTATTTAAGCATTTGAGGAGGCCTCAGCATTTTTATCTCCAAGGACATGTGTTGGTAAGAGTTGCATGTTAGAATGTGTTTAAAGAGCAGCATAATGTAATGATAAAATTGTCTACAGAGTAGTGATGTTCAAAAATTAAAGGTGCATATGAAAAGCTCATGAGTTTGGTCAGCCACACTAGATGAAACTGGAGGCACCTTTCTGGTATTTGCAATATTTTCAGATGTCTATATATAGTATCTTGTGAAATCTAGGTGTTAGGATCTCCTAGCTCAATTTGTACAGTACTCCTGTGATGGATAAATAGTGGAAGCTATTGAAAAGATTCCCTTCATTGAACAGAGGAGTCAAGTTCTCATCAGGTATTGTCATACTTCATGTATTAGCTGTGAGATACTGTTGCTGCAAAAAGTACTTGCCTTTCTCAGCTTTTATTTTTTCCTGTCAGGATTGAAGGCTTAAGGTGGCTGGTTTGTTTGTTTGAAGTTTTCCCTCTGTTCCAAACTTGCTCAACCTCCATCCTCAATTCAGCCTCCAACTGGAATCCTCCAATAGGTAGCTGAAGCATCTTGTGGTCTTTTGCATTTGGTGTTCTGAGATAACTGAGATGTTTAAAAGCAATATTTAGTGCCATGTCCAACACGTTATCTCATGGTCAATGGTGTTCCTGGCATCTGGAGAAGTGTGTGGAGCTTCCAGTGTCTGGCATCTCAACAGCAAACCAGCCTGTGCATTTGATGACCTCATTTATCAGCAAACAGCAACTCCTTTGCCTGTTAAAATTTTTAAGGATGATGTATTAAACCCAGCACATTACATTCTACCAATGTTTTAAAATGTAGGTGAAAAAAAGCTAATGTTGTACTGATTTGCATGCTGTAGCAGGCTGTCTTTTATTCCTTGTGGCTTTGTAAATCTACAGTTGCTGGACATGGGTGGCAGTGTTGGACAGGATGATTCTGAGGGGTTAGAGAAGGGTGCAGACAACTATACTACTCTTTTGGGTTCCTCTGGGATCTCTAAGTTGGCTGTCCATCATTTCTCTCCTTCTACCCACATTTATAGCTTAGGGTTTTTTTGGTTTGCCAGAATACTAGAAGTGGGTCTAGCCCTTAGCACCAAGGCTTGAAAAAAACAACTCACCACCAACCCCCAATTCTTAGTACTGTTGTACTGATCAGAACCTGCTGCTGCCTCACAGGGTTAAATGGAGCAGGTTATTTCTTCTGTGGTTGTGGAGACACACCATCCTGAACAAGCAGTATGCTGAAAAAGAACTGCAAAGTGTCAGGGTGTCCCTCTACCCAAGTTCATTAGGAGAGAAAATAATGCCACTATCACTCAAGTTCTCCCATCTAAATGCCTTTATTACCTTTCTGTCAGCTCTCACAGGCTGAAGCAGCTGATCCCAGTCCTAAGCCCAACTGTTCTCTCTTCAGTTGGGATAACTGTCTCTTGGGACCTTCCAGAGACGAACAGGGTAGAGACATGAAACATTAGTGCCTGCCTATCATAGAAACACTTCTCTTAACAAAATTAGCTGTGAAATTTGAGTGTTCTACTGAAGAAAAGTCTGTGATGATTAAACATCTTGTGCTTGCTTTTTAATTTAGTCTCACTCTTAATGGCAATGACACAAAGCCACATCCTGCACCATGATGAAACAAAGCCACACTGTCAGCTCCTCCCTTTGAAAATGGAGTCCTGCAATACTGAGTAGTTGCAAGGGAGGTTCTAGCTTGACAGGCAGTTTTGGAAATACAGAAATAAAATACAGACCTTCGGGGACATCAGGTTGAGTTTCAGTGCCAGCTATCTTGACGTCCAGCTGTATGCACCAGCTCAGGATGTTTTGTGCAGCAGGGAAATTTTTTGTCCATCCCAGAAGAATGTCGAGTTTAAGACAGTGTTGCATAGCTGGGGTGTGTGGGTGGAGGACATCCCATTTGCTCTGCACCACCCAAGTTGCTCCCTCAAAAGGCATCTCTCTGAGGAAATCTGGTTGGGCAGGAAGGTGAGCGGCAAGATGGCCACATGTATAGCAGACTCCCAGGGCAATGGGAGCCTTGAGCACCTTTCTACAGCTACCACCATCCAAGTAGGAACATGGAAGTGGCACGTGAATGTGGTTGGAAGGTCAGTGGGGTTTGCTAAACTTTCCACTTCCTCAAAAACTTAAGGTTGAGAGAGCTGGCCACTGGAGTAGAAAAATGGTTTCAGTAGGTGTGAGGCTAGCTGATGCATGTCCTGGGGTGGCAGGTGGTTTTGCATGCATGGCCTTGGCTGCTGAGGATGATCCCTGGGGAAGGATACCTACACATTAGCCCAAATTTTAGCCACTAATACCATCTCCCTATCGCTGACATTTCAGTGGGTTTTGATTGCAAATTGGAGGGGAAAGTGTAGGAAGTGCCACTGTTTGGAGTGAGGGACAGTGCTGGGGGTGTTTTTAAAGGGAAGGGAGCACATCCAGGCTGCAGCAGAGCTGAGAGGCTGAGTAGGTGGTGCAGAGGTAGAGAGGAGGGAACCAAAGACCAAACCTAATGTGCTAACATCTCCAGGGGTAGTTAAAACCCTTAGAGGAGGGGCTCGGAGTGGGAAGGGGAAGCAAGATTTGCTTTCATGAGAACTTGTACTTAAATACTTGTTTGGTTTTTTTTCTTTCAGTAATAAATTTTTCATGAGAAGTTTAAAACACTGCTACTTCAGGTTTAAGGATCTTGTATTTATTCATCCGGGACAAATGTCTGGGAGTTACAGAGACTGGAGGTTAACAGGAGCAGGCTGTAAAAAACACTAGCTATTTTCACCAGATAGTCTGCAGTGGCTCAGTAATTGTGATAAAATCAAAATGTGTCAAGTTTAAAGTAATGGTTTGTTTAATTACTTGCACCATCGAGAGAAAAAAAAAAAAAGAAAGCACCTACTGGATCTTAGCCCAGAGGACCACCGTCTGTATTTTCAGAGCAAAACTGCTCTACTGCTCCATCTAGTGTTGTTGGAGCCCGTTAAAGGTAGGGGAGGGACCTAATCTGAGTAAACTCTCTGTGATGGGTCGATGTGATGACAGATTAGAACGTAGGAGAAAAACATGTTTGTTTTTTTTTTAATGTGTTTTTGCCTGACTACAAAAATATATTAAGTTGTGTTATCTCAAATCGTTATCAGAGTTAGTTTAAAGTAGTAACTTTTGCTCTGCTCCTCATCATGCAAATGACTAAAATGCATAAAGAGGTTTGTTAGGTGGCTGCCTCAGTCCTGCCTGATGCTTGGATCTCCAAGTCGTGATTCAGAAATCCCACAGCTAAGCAGCAGAAGTGCAGTGCTCCCAAGCCTCTGTGGGTGCAGCTTCAGTGAAGATCCTTGTGAGGGCTCTCTCCCTTGTCATGGGCACGGAGAATGTTCACCTGATCCCGAGTCTGAATTTGTCCCTTCCTCAGCCTTCCTTTTGGGCCTCTCATGTTGTTGTGCTGCTGATATGATATACTTAAAAGTCAAGCAAACTTTTTGTTTTCTTAAAATTAATCTCTTCTAAAATAAAAAGTGCAAATTGAAAGTGCAATCATTATGTCTTTCACAATACAGCAGAACATTAAATTTACAAATAAAAAATTACAACTGAATTTTTAGTCGTTTTTAGAACTTTGCAGAAAATTAATCAGTGCAAAAAGAAAAAAAAAAGAGGAATTTCCTTTTTAGAAGCTTTCATCGTTATGTTTGCAAACACAACCAATTCTGAACTGCAAAATATTTACAATTTGGCAGCCTGAGTTGTTGACAGAAGGTTCTTGAGTTCCAAGCACTGGTTTCTCATCTCTCAAGTTCCGCTTCCAGGATTTCTCCCCATGTGTCAACATCCATTGGATACATGCTCTTCTCTGGCAAGCTGTTTTGTGAAGGAATGTTGCTGTACTTCCCGTTCAGCCATTCTTGCTTCACTTTGCTTTTCCAATAGTTTCTCAGTAATGTGATCTGAAGGAAAAACAGAACTGATTGAAGTTGCATTCAACACCAGCAAGTTTTTGTGTCGGAAGAGTAACGCTAAAAAAAGGACCTGGAACGGGTCTTTGGCCTTCTAGACACTCAGCCCAGGAACGTGCACTGCTGCCAAGAAGTAGACCTTGGTCTCCTTCCAACTTTTCTGTCTGAAGTTGGGTGGAGAATGGCTTGTTGCCTCAGTTCTTTGAGGGTCAAGATGAAAACTCTAAACAAGGAATTAATATTCCTCCTTGCTCCTTAGAAGAGGTGCCTTTTGCTTTCTTTTCCTATTTAGGTTATTTGTGACCTTTAACTCTTGTTCTGGCTCTTAAGGCAGGCTGGCTGGATTCTTCTCCTCAGCCAACCTTTTGGTGCACGAAAATGCTGACTGGCCTGCGTTTGCTTGTACTTCAAACTCCCTCTCCCACATACAGGTAGCATGGAGAAGCAGTGCAAGAACAGAGAGACGTGCACGCCTGAAGGGCAACCCCGCAGCTGATGGCTCTGCCTCACCCTGCAGCAGCCCGGGCCCTGTGGGGCCCTGTGGGGCTGGGCCAGATGGGGCGTCCTGGGCAGCAAACAGGGGCCTTGGCTTCCGGCTCCCTCTGCCTCTAACCAGAGGCTGTCGGGGGGCTCTACCGAGCCCTGCTGTGATTGCAGCAGCTCTGCCTGAACCCTGGTACGAGTCCCGGCAGCCGGGAGGCTGCCCCC